GCTGATAGGAATGCAGACAGTAAAGGCTGAGCTCATGAGGTTTCAGATGGTAATGGGAACTGAGGCCATTCACATGTTATATTCTAGCAAAGAATTTATCTATATTTTGTCCATGCCCTGAGAGTTTGTGTCAGGATCAGATTAAAAGTAATTAATCTGGCAGAAGATATTTCAAGGCAGCACAGCATTCAAGCAGTGACATGGATATTACTGGCTAGTTTTAGCAATATTTATAACAAGAAATAGAGCAGAAAGATTAGAAAAACTTGTAACTTGGCCAAAAAAGAAGTGAGAAGTAGCCAAGAAGGGTGCGGTTGTTAAAAACAGTAGCATCATTTAAAAGAAGCCAAGTACTTGGCTCCAGGACAATTGGAAAGATACCTTGAGGGCATTTGGGGAGTCAGCAAAAACCTGCCCTTTGAAGGCTCAAGGGTGTAAAAGTGTAAATCACTTGAAGGACTTTGCTTGAAGAAGAGTTCCAGGGAGCCCAGCTCCCACAGGACCATCTAAAAATGAGCTTCCCTGTGTTCAGCCATCTAGGCACTCCAAGGTCTCTGTAGCCATGGGGCCAGCTAGTGCTGCTGCTGGCAGCCGACCTTGATGTTATCTACGTTGTGCTGGTTTTGCAGGCATGCAGAATGCAAGCATTACAGGGTCACAGAGGTTTCCACTGAGTTTTCAAAGGAAAGTTTAGCAAGCCAGAAAGTGTGTGGCAGATTCAGAGTTCCTACAGGCAGGCCCTGGCAGGACATGCATAAAGCTGTAAGAGTGAAGACAATGCTGACATCAAGGCTGTAGGAAGTTTAAGATATCAGAAATGTGGAACATGTGGAAAGGACAGTTGTAGGCAGCAAGTAGAGTCAGTCTAAGAAAAACACCATGTGGGCTGCAGACAGCAAAGCTGTAGGGGTGGGGCTACCCAAGTCCACAGAACTCACATAATGCTACCATATTCCCCAGATGCAGGAGATGGAGCTATATGATTTAATGTTTTCCTTGCTGGGTTTCAGTCTTTCTTTGGTCACATCCTCTTCTTTCCATGCTCCATTCCCCTCTTTTGGAATGAGAATATTTACCCTCTATCAGCCTCACCATTGTATATTAGAAGTATGTAACTTGATTATTATCATTTTTAGAGGTGCTCACAGCTAAGAGTTTGCCTGAAGTCGTGGAGGAGACTTTGGACTTGGACTTTTGAGTAATGTTGGAACTGTTAAGTCTATGAGGACTCTTAGAGATCCACGACTGGTTGTGTTTTGAATTGTGAGATGGACAGGTGAGTAGCCAGGTAGAAGGAGGCCCTAAATTTTAGCATCCCAGGGCAGCCTGTGGAACCCTTGGAGTCCAGGGATAGAATATTATAGTTTGGATTTAAATGTTGGCAAAAGGCTCATGTGTTGAAGGTTTGGTTTCAAATGCAGCAGTGTTCCCACGTGGGTCCTTTCAGAGATCACGGGGTCATAAGGGCTTTGACTTCATGAATGGACTAATCCATTTAGGGATTCATCACTTAAAGGATTTGGGGAGAGGGGCTTTTGTTATAAAAGCCAGCTCTTTCTCTGCTTCCTGACCATGATAAGGTGAATAGCTTTGCTCCACCACATGCTCTTTATCATGTTGTTGTTTTTTTCCTTGCCATGGGCCCAAAATGATGAGGCTAATCAACAGTGGACTGAAACCTCTGAAACCATTAGCCAAAATAACTATTTTCTTCTTTCAAGATAATTTCTCAGGGGGCTGGGGTTGTAGCTCAGTGGTAGAGCGCTTGCCTTGCATATACAAGTACCTGGGTTCAATCCTCAGCACCATATAAATAAATAAAAAGTTTAAAAAAAGAGATAATTTCTCTAGTGTTTTGTCACAGTAATAGAAAGGGGACTAACATTGACAACTCAAGCTATAAACATGGCAAAAAGCTAACAGAGCTTGAGACTCCCTGCTGTGTGTTAGGGATATATCTTTTGACCCACAGGACCTTCAGCCCAACTCAGGCATCCTTTTGCCTGGAGAGACTAGAATTTATTATAGAAGGATGCAAAGGCAGCAGCTTCTGTGCAGAGAAGTCAGACTATTGTCTCAAGAGATTTTCTCTCAATTCTATTTAGCACATCAGAAGCATAATATGAGGTTGGAAAGAGAAGGATAATAGATTAGCTGATACTTTTGGGTCTTGGGGATGGTGGTAAGAGAGGAAAAGCAAGAGAGGGAGCCACCAGAAAGAATGGGCTGACATGTGTCTTGAAGGAATGAAATGAATGACAAGGTGTGGGCAGAAGGGGTTATGGGCCTAACTCACATGTGGACAGGGGTTCTGTGAAGGCCTTAGTCTTCTGCAGAGTAGCCAGGTAGAAGGAGGCCCTAAATTCTAGCATCCCAGGGCAGCCTGTGGTATTAAGTAAAAGCAAACCACCCACCTCATTTAACAGCAGGTGTAGGTATAGGAGAAAGCCCATTTTATACCTCTTTTCCCTCATTCTCAAGTAGAATGAATCACCCTTGAACCCAGTCACGTTTCCTTCTTTAATCAGGACCTTTCACATTTGAGTGTGAAAGGGAAACTGCAGTCTTCCTTTTTCCTTTGCAAGTTGAGAATCTCACTGCCTTCTGCCAAAAGCACTGCAGTGTGTCTATCTAGTGTCTCCCTCTCTATTCCTCATGGAGACAGCTGCTATAATTTGGATCTTAACAGTTCCTCAAAGGTCCATGTGATAAAGACTTGCTCCCAAGGGAGGTAGTCAAGCCTTTAAGAGGCAGAGTCTAGGGAGGGTTTCTTTCTTTAAAAAAATTTTTTTTTAAAATTTGTTCTTCTTTTAAAATTTTTTATTTGTTCTATTTAGTTGTACAATACAGCAGAATGCATTTCAATTCACTGTACACAAATGGAGTGAAACATTTCAAATCCCTGGTTGTCCATAGGGTAGAGACACACTATTCGTGCAATCATACATGTACCTAGGGTGATGATGTCCATCTCATTCCACCATCTTTTCTATCCTCATAACCCCTCCCCTTTGACCAATCCAAAACTCCTCCATACTTCCCATGCCCCTAGGGAGAGTTCTTTAGGTCATTGGGGAGGTACCCTCAAAGATAATTTTGGAACTCCCCTCCCCTTTTTTTTTTTTTGCTTTCCAGCCACAAGGTGAGTGGTTTTGCTTGGCCACATTGCCACACGTTCCCTGCAATTGCAATCACACACTCCAACCAGAAGTCTAAAAACCTTGTGTCTGCCTAACCAAGGACTGGAACATCCATCTAAAACCATGAGCCAGAATAACACTTCTTTTCTTTTCCTTTTTTGTAGCTGTAGATGGACAGCATGCCTTTATTTTATTTGTCTTTATGTGGTGCTAAGAATCAGACCCAGTGCTCATGCGTGCTAGGCAAGCACACTGCCACTGAACTACAGCCCCAGCCCCAATGCTTTTCTCTATATAAGTTGATTATCTCAGGTATTAAAGTAATGGAAAGCTAATGTATCTTTCTAGAACACAGTGGCTACATGTCTTTGTTGATCCAAAGTATTTTTACATGGCTGGGGGTGTAGCTCAGTGGTAGAACACTTGCCTAGCATGTATAAGACCCTGGGTTTGATCCCCAGCACCACAGAACAAAACATTCTATTAGGTAAGTTTCAAGCATTGAACACTGCTTAAGTGTTGAGCGCAGCCTCCCCATGACACACTCACCCTGCTTTTTCTTTCTCTTGCCATAAGCAGTCCTTCCCTTCAAACCACCTCATCACTTGGTTTCTCATCATCCAAGATGCAGCTCTTTCTGGACAGTGTGAGAGCTCCCTCTTTAGGTCTGTTCTTGTCTTCTCCTGCCACATTGGGAGCCCCTCCTCTAGAGGCCAGGGGACATCACTCCAGTCTGCAGAGCCCAACCTCACTGCACATTCCCAACATTCCTCAGCCTTCCTTTTAAGCATATTCCTCCTTTCTTCCAAAATGACCTACTGTTAATCACTTTTTTATTGATGTGACCAAAATACCTGATATAATAAGGAAGAAAGGATTATTTTGGTTCCGGTTCAGAGTTTTAGGTCCATGGTTATCTCCATTGCTTTGGGCCATCATGATGGAAGGGTAGATGCATCAGAGGAAAACTGCTCAGCTCATGGCAGCCAGGAAGTGAAAAGAGACTGAGAAAGGGGCCATTAGCTACCAATGGACTAATCCACTAATGAAGTTGGAACCCTCATGATCCAGTCACTTCCCAGGACCAAAGCTCCACCTCAGGACATTGCTGCACTGGGGACAAAGTCTTCAAAACATGATCTTCAGGGGACCATCTAGATCCAAACTGTTACAGATTTCTTTTCTAGGTCAATCTCAGAATCTTGCTCATTCTTCATTTTGAGGGCTATTTTCATTCCCCAAAATGCAACTCCCCCACACCCACCTTTAAACCACCATGCATTTGAAACTTTCCGAGTCCTGTCACATTCTGCCTTGTATTATGATTTCCTTCCCAGTTATTTCTTCTACTCCCAGAGACTGTAAGCTAAATGGCTCTGAGAGGGTACCTCTCAGAGCTCAATGTCAAGCAGCCGAGATCACACAGGCTCTCAAGAAATGTCTCCAGACTTCCACATTCCAACTTCAACAGGCCTCCTATGAAGAACCCCAAATTAATAAAGGATCCCTGGGGTTGGTTCTTCATGGAACCCATTTAACTATGTACTTGACAAAGGATAGGTGCTCAAAATATATGATGCATAAGAAATAATGTAAGAGAAAACAAGGCGAAGCAGGATTTCTACAAGGAAGTGTGGTAGGCCTTTGTAGAAATGACTTGCTCTGAACCCCGCTGTTCCACCAGCTCCGCACCAACCCCCCGACCTGCCCCATCAGCGCTGTCCTGTGTAGCCCCGCCCCTCCCTACCTGTCTCCCACAAGGCTTGGCCCCGCCCCATCTGCCCCACCCTGCCCCGCCCCACCTGCTCCCGCAAGACCCGATCCCGCCCCAACCCTCTCGCTCAACTCGGCCAGGCTCACCTGTAAGCCCAGGGTGACACGCTGCGCAGGTTGGTGGGTGGCCGGAAGCGGCGGTCCGCGGGCCTGCCCCCTGCCGGGCAGCTCGCGTTGCGCGCCTGCTCGCGGGGCCCCAGC